TCAATCGCCGTCACTGTTGTAGTTGTTAAGACCGGACACGGCGTGGAGGTAAAGCGAACGGAGTAATTATAATTATTGTTCAATCCGAATTGGTCAGTTCGATTAGTATTTTCCGAAAAAAAAAAAACCAAGAGAGCGATTGCGGAGAGTTAACCCTAATCTCTGTAAAATGTATTAGGTATACAGACGTATATACAGTGTTTTAGAGCTAAGATTAAACAACGGGATTCACGTGCGATTGCAAATTTCTATTCCAAAACCTACAGAAACCATTTACAATTTAAAATCTAGTGAATTAGATTAATATTTAACCAAAGTTGTATATGTTTCAGAGGTTTTGCATTAAAATGCGAGTTTTCAATTTTATTTCATCTAAATGTCTAAGTTTTTTTTTTATTATTATTCAATACAAGTGTAAAATATAGGTTATTTTAGGTAGATATTATTTGTAGTTTTCGGTGCAGTTTGTGTTAATTTATAAATTTTGTTGAAACTTAATATATAATACCATGTTTCATAAAGGTGACGAAACATGTGACAGAAACCATACGACCAATATCGACTGGTGGCTATAGGTATTATTATTATTATAAAGAAAATAACGGGGTTGATCTCGGGATACATGAGTATAATATATACATAAACATATTAATATTATAGTTTATAGGTACAGTCTGTCCGCTGTAAGAAAATATACTTGGAAATGTACCTACATATAGCAAATGTTAGTAATTAGTAAATATGCTCTTTCTTTTATTATTGAGTATTAAGGGTTCGACATCCATGGTCATTAGCCTGAAGGTTATTTAGAAGGTAATTTACCGTTGGTTAGAACTGCACATGTGGAGAGGATTTGTCACTATAACCCTATACACGTTTGTGACTGAAACCAACCACCGCGGAACACCAGGAAACACAAATATAATGTTTCTATAATTAAATTAAGTTTTATATAACAATATGTTTATAGTATACAATTTATATATAGGTAATAGGTTAGCCCATAAAATATGCTGCATAAAAAAATACAATATTAAATCAATAACAATGAAAATACAATTGTACACACCCAGCACTTATACTGCAGTAACAAATGTGGCTCTCCATAATTCGTAATACACGTCGTGTTCGCATCTTTCGGCGATTTAATTGCCCGTTTTTCAGATGTCTGATGCACAAAAATCCGGTCGTTATACAGTTGTGACATTTTTACAGCACGCATGTCAGAGATTAGGTCGTATTGTATAGGGACTGAGCGGATATACATATAATACGTATAATTTTTTTTTTCAAGTCAGCTGATCGCCAAGTTATGGACGTGGCCCCAACGAGTAATTGGCGCGTTCTATACAATGTGTACTCGCGTGAAACACAGATAGTGTTATATAGGCGAAAAGTAAAAATGCTGACCGGAAGTCCGGAAGGCGTGTGCGGGAGACGGCGATGCGTGCCCGCGATGAGGAGGAATACACAACGAGCCATATTTTCGGACAGTTCTCCGCACACGTGTAGTAATATATTATACGGTCTTATCGGCCTGGACGGTGACGACCGGACGTGCGGGGGCTCCGTTTAATTGGAAAACCGTTCGCTCGCGTCCATGGCGGCTGCGATAATCGTCCGTCCGTTGTTCGGATCTGCTGTCGGACCCGCTGCGGAAGACTCGCCGGAGCAGCCAATAAGGACGAAATACACGGAAATGCGATAGGTGCATTATAATAATATAACGCACTGTACATGTATACTATATCATCGTAGCGTTACGCGTATGGTCACTGAAATAATATTATAATTTACCAAACGGCGGCGATGGATGGTATAGACGAGGCGCGCGCACACACGCCGAATAATATTAATGGTGCTCGGGGCGTTAATTTATCGTCCGCGTGGCGACGAGAGGAAAAGGAGGTAAAAAAAAAAAAAAAAATATAAATAAATAATAAAATAAAGAAGAAACGGTCGGAGGATCGTATAAAAATATAATAATAATATGTACTAGTGAGTGCGTGTGTGTGTGTGTGTGTGTTGAAACAACGAACGTCTCTCGACGCTTCACGTGTCGCTGCCGAGCGTGTGTGTGAACGTTTTTCACCGTCCCGCACACAAATTCCTAAATAAATATAAATCTAATTGGATCCGAGAGAGACGTATTATGACGATCGGGTTTTATTTATTTTTTTTTTTTCACCTGTTCCTCCTATATACCAATAATAATAATAATAATAATAATATACCACAGCGATGTGTCCGCCGCCGTGCGCAAGTGGGAGTATTATACCGCCGACATCGGCACTGCTCCAGCGTAGGTATATATACCGCGCGCATACCGTATACGCGGTAATTGCGAACGGTCGGGCCAATAATTTTTTATTTCCCCGGAGCGCACACGCTATTATTATTATATACGGATACATTTATACAGACGGACGCGCGTTCCCCTCTCCCCCTCTCCCCCCCCCATTCACTTGGCCGGACATTGTTATCGTGTTTTTCGTTTTTTACGCTATTATATCGCATTATTTTCTCGACGACGACGTTTTTAAACGATCGTTTTGCCCGCCGCCCCTATCTCCCGGTTACATATTATATTATATTATTGTCGTCGTCGTCGTCGTCGTCTCCGAAAAATACCGAAATAGTATAATAATATATTACAATGAATATAAGGTCCGCTCGCCGCCGTGGCTGTATATCAAAATAAACGAGGACGATTTGGCGAAAACGTCTCGTAAAAAATATATAAGTACAATGTACCGGCTACCTTTTATCGGCGTTCAAAATGAAACGTTTGAGATTAAATTCGATCGGTCGGCGATCCGACTCGGAGGCGGTTACATTGTCATTACACTATAATATATTTTGTTCCGAGACTTTTCCGATCCAAACGTTGTTTTCAAACGGTGTCGTTTTAAACAAATTTTTTTTTAGAACACGCCACTCGGATGTCGGTCGTCACTCTTCGGAGGCTAACCTCTGCAGACGATGATATTATTATTATCATCATCATCTGGGTCACATTATATTATTGCGGTGTAATCCGCGGTCGCGTCCGACATCACGTAAACGATTTTTCAATAAGTTTCGTTTTAAAAGCTTACGATACAGAGAAAAGCGTTTCTCGACTAAAATAATAACTACCACGTACTATTATAGTAATAATAGTCGAGCAACAGAGCTTGAATAAATATAATATATACGATTTATGGATGAACGAACGCAACAATAACCTTAATTTGTGCTCGTACATTATGAGCCACATATTACAATATATTTATTTACACTATATTGTGGTGTACAAAAGTTTTGAAAGATCAAAAATCGCTCAAAGCATTATATTATTATTAAAAACATAACTGCGAATTTTAATCAACTATAAACGGAATTCTCGCTCAGATAAGAGCCGAGTCTTAAAATTAAACCAACTCAAAATATCCAAATAATAATCTTATATTATATATAGGTAGGTATTATAATAACCGAATTCCTGAATAATTTTCAACTTGTGAATTATATTGAAATTTCCCTCCGTGATATTAGAAAAATGTGGTTATTACGGAATCAATGAATAATATTTGAATATTTAACGTAGTAGTAGGTACCTCATAATAAATATCGGAAATGGCCAGCCTAAAATATATTTCCATTGTCTCACCCTACGCAATAATGGTATACAACAGGTATACCAGCTATATTCCTTTGTAAATAAAAACCAACAAGATAACTCGGTGTAATGTACATAATATTATTATTGCATATTTTAAATACTCATTAGTAGGCATACTTTAATGTTTAAATAGCACGCGTATGATGATAATAGATAAAAAAAACAATTTAAACAATTTTTTTTTCTCTGACGATTTTTATTCCTTGTTACGGTTTATTACACAACCATTGATATATTTTTTGTTATTGGATTTCGTAAAATTTAATGCCATACAAGACGGAAAACCGAAAATAAAATGCAGTATGACCAACGACCACCTGCTATCTGGATGTCGTTGTAAGGGACGGGGAGAGAAAGGAGGTGAATTGGAAATTGCCCTTATAGGCGGAAAACCCTAAATACGCCACTGGTTGTGCCTCCGTTCGGCAAGTATACACGTCTTGTGAAGTAAACGCATGTCGAAGCCCGCATCATAATATAATATAAATGTGCTCAACGGTATGATAATATATTATAAGTACGTTTGTAGTACATTATTATTACCGACATAACATATTTCATAATAATAATGTGTGTGTATAATTTAATAACAATAATATTATATTATATTACGTATACGCTATAATATTATGCTCGGTCGCTGGTGAAAATTGTTATTTACAGTATACCCGTTTCACCAGCCGTCGACGGACGTGCTTAACTCCGATGCCGTAGGTCGTATAATGTCAAACGACTAATATTCGTATTATTGTAATATTATCCACATATATATACACATTACACGATATTATTATACACGTCATAGACTAACTCGTAGGTACTTTACTGTTTTATGGAGGAAAAAAAATCATCCGCCTACCTGCATCGCATCACAAACTATATACATAAAACCCATTAATAATAAAACATGTATAATTTATTGTAACGACGACGACCGCACGATGATGATGATGATGATGATGATGATGATGATAATACAATATTGTAAATTATTATTATTATTATACGACGACGACGTGTGCTGTTGTTATATGCCCGTATGTGCAGGCGAAATATGATTCGGTGGTCACACGATAAATTTCAATACGGACGATAATGATACGCACACGGTCATCTGAGGTCACTGAGGTCTTGTCGTAATTTGGGATACACAAACGATACAGCAGGACTTCGGTGTAGTTGTTGTACCATATTACTATAGTTTGTGTGGCGTGCTTAAACGACGTTCAGAGTCGGTCCGGTGCGACGACGGCGCCCAAAACATAATAATATTACAATAGGTATGTAATATATTATAAACTATGTATACGAGCACAGAGTTCCGTCGATTCCATCATCAACCCGCGCGATCGTCGTGTGGACGGGTCACTACAACTACAATACGAGTTGAATGTTGCCACAGTGCCGAGTCGTACTTTGTTGTTGTTATCACTGTGAAGTATGTGTCCTGTGACCTGTAAGGTGCAGCGTTGTCCCGGCTGGCACGAGCACGTTGGTATTTAAGTATTTTGAGCACAGTTTCTATGTACCGTTGGTCGTAGACACATCCCCACACCACGAACGTTGTATTTCCGGTTTCTGGATATCTCCCAAAAGACATCTCGAAAAAATGATTTCCCCAAAAGAAAAGTTTGGCGATAAACAACCTCGAAATCGGTTGAATATAAAATCAAGATACCTTATAAAAAAAAATAAAAAATAAAAAATAAAAAATACCTAGTTCAAAGTCAAACATCCTGTCTCTTCCCCTTACCACCTCGAAACTTTCACACCGTGACAGAATAAAGGGGAAGGGACAGGAGTCCCGAGGCCGTTAAAGTATATCTAAACAGCTGTGACGAGGAAATTTGTGAGGATATAATGTTATATCGATGACATTACTTATGTATGTCTATGTATATTATAAATTTATAAATAATAATGATACTCATCAAAATCTTTGCTATGATTATATTATGTTTCTAAAACATAAATATAATCATAAGTGCCAATTAGAAGCGGGAGGGGGTTTGTGAGGACTTTAGAACTTGGTCTCACCCAAATTTCTGGCAAGTCCCTCCAGTTCAAAATTGTATACTTGGCGCTAAGCGTAGTCATTTTTAGAAAATATTATGAGGGGAGAGGGTTCAGTCCCCCAACAGCTGTGAGCTATTTGAGAAGTCTATTTTCCCCGATAAATATAAAATATAATATTTTTATCATTATATAATAATAATAATAATAATAATATGTGTTGTAAACCTCATATTATCGTCTACTTAACATTTGTTTTACCTCGCTGAATAATTACATTTTGCGTTAAAGTTCTTCCGATTACCTCGGGTTAAACTTAAACTGAGAGTCAAATTGATTTTCGTGGAAGTACAGCTACTTCATAATGCGATTTTAGTATGCCTCCTAATTTACATTATTTATTAATCAGGACGCGCATATGCCTTAATATACCTACAAATAATACGTCATATTAACACACAAACGAAAGCCCTTGGTTTGAATCCAAAATTCGGAAGTGGGGGTGCCAGAGAAATGCGCCTCATATATTATTGTTTTTGGTCTGAAGCTTACAATGCGATATTATGTGGTAACTGTTGTCTGAATAACATCCAATCCGCAATTAAAATTATAAAGTATAATATTTGGATTGTATTGGGTAGTAAGAAATCAAATTATTGTACCGTTCAAAGCATATAATAATATTTTTCGTACATTATATTATAACTATTATGTACTTTTAATTTACAATTTTCTAGGTATGTTGTAAAATAATTCCAGCTCACACATTGTAATAACAGTGTTTGCAGCTGATGGTCCGAAAATGAATGTATAATATTAATTACTGGCTATTTTATTATAAATATATTATACAATAATAATATGATATTATACCGACATTAAAAAATAACAAGCGAGGCGATAATAGTTGGGTTGTTGTGCAGTTTGATATCCGCACAGACGGGCTGATAATAATAATAATAACGATAATGCGAAAAGTAGGTAAAAAGATTCCGAAAAACTTTTTAATCGAAACCTGCACGTACCCAATTATAATACACTACTGCTTTTTTTTTTTTTTTCGTAAACGATTACAGTTAATTTCGAACGGTCCGGAAACCCAATACGAAAAGCGCTTTATTATAATATATATAAATATTATTAGGGCTCGGAAGTTGTTGCATTTGCATGATTTTTTTGAACCATTAGATTTATTGCTAAGTAAGCTAGAAATTCATTTCAAGACACTACGAAAAACATATCAAAAGTTTTTAGTGCATATTTTTGCATATTTAGTGATTTTTAGATTTTAGAGCATATTTCTTAATTTTACAATTTTTTAAAGCATATTTTATAATTTATGGATATTTAATATGAAAATTTGTAAATAAAAAAATAAATACATTCATATTCAGAGACCTTACTAGATATTCTTGAATCTTATTATTCAAATTTCCATTTGACATTAAAAACTATGTTTTTCCTCTATTGGTTAATATGATATTATATAAATATATATATAAATTACAACTACAGCTAGCTTTATCTAAAATAGAATATTATACAAATCTAAAATAGAAACAGCTGCTGCCTGCTATCGAAATACGACGATTTTCTATAAATACTTTTATAGGAAAATAACTCAATGATTATTGACTATTGTTAATGGCATTTATAGATTTTAGGTATTTCAGGTATATAAATATAACTCGACAGAAGTGCATTTTTTTATTCAAGGAACATTTTTAATTTTTAAAGCGATTTTTTCATTATTTTTTTGTTTAAATTATGATTAGAAAATATAAATAATAATAAATTAATAACTTATATTACTTTGCTTTTTTTTTTATTTACAAATTAAAAAAAATATTTGTACAAATGAAAATGTTGTGTAAAATAATTAAATATAAGTGCATATTTTTAGAGCATATTTGTAGTTTTTTAAGCGCATAAGTGCATGCATATTTAGTACTTTTTAAGTGCATTAAGTTCCGAGCCCTAAATATTATTATTTCTCCGAGAGAGTTTTGCAGCTGCAGTCGTACTGTTTGTTGTCGTTCTCGTTAAAATAAAATTATATTTTCTCGGCGACTGCGCCGGAACGTTTTAAATGCATGTCACTACTAAGACTTACAGCATATATATATATATATATATATAAGGTAGGTAGGTACCTATATATATTATTATTCATAATAATTTATTTAGTTGGACGGAAAACTTTAATTCCGCCGCAACCGAACGGAGGAAGGTACACACAATAATAATAATTGTTATGTGCTATAAACCCGGCCGAGCCAACCGTTCACAGCATGAATACGAATTAAAAGGAAATTGGAGTGCGCTGTTTTCCAAGTCACTTTGTTTGCTCTACGCGGCGGCGGATTCCGAGAAAATATGTTTAGGATGTGAGATCGGCGCCGTGTGGAACTTTTATATTATTTTCTCACTTTAAACGCGCAGCGATGCCTTTGCGAACGTCTATTTTACACCATTTTATTGCGCTCATATTACATTATAATATTATACACTTTACCTATACGAGATTATAGGACGCGTGCACGACGGAAACGATATAAATTTTCAAACGGTCGGGTGAACTGTTAATAAATTAAATTAAGCTAATAATAATTGGTCGAAACGTTCTACAAATAATTACGGTACCTAATCTCAATAAATTATACAATTTGTTTGTATTCGAAGAAAACCGTTATCATTCGTCGTAGTGTTGCGCATAATATTGTTGTAACGTAAATTGCTCTAAATTATAAATTATAATAATATACATTTCGTAATTATAACGAAAAAACGGCAAATGTCAAGACTCGCGGCACAACTGACGCGGCAACTCGTTGAAATTTACGGACCACCGAGAGTCAAATCAAATGTTGACGTTTCGCGTATTTATTTATACGAAAATATGATATGATATTTTATGTATAGCTAGGTTCATTGCATCCTAACGGCTTCTTCAGAATAATTATTTTCGGCTGTATAACAATAATAAATAATATTATTACATCCATATAGGTTAGGCTAACCTTTACTTCACTATATACCCTAGAATGGGGTTACTTTGATTTCGTGTAGCTACTTTGACACACTTATATTTTTATTCACAAGAGTAGGTGCCACGATGATTTAATTTTTTTTTTCATAAAATGGAGTTACTTTGGTATCACATTAAGAAATATAGGTATCAAAGTTGCGTAACTTTGATAGCATATTAAAAGAATTGATATTTCTGAAGATAATATCATAAATTTAAAAATTAAAACTTTAAAAAATTGAGCAAAACTAGCTGCAACTATAAGATTTAATTTTGAGAGTTTTATCGTTAATACCACAGAAGTTATTCATAAAATAAAAAGCAAAATTGTCATAAGACAATAAAAAAATTATCAAAGTAACCCCATTTTATGGTACTGTACACTTCCACTGCAGCACTACCGTCGTGAGTGTCGATTTTCCGTAATACATGATTCGGTGTTTAGAAGAAAATATTTTATTTATTATTATTTTGCATATTGTATTAAAAATTGGTCGTTTTCCTGGTTATTTATTTATATTTTATTTTATTAAATAACCCGCGACAACATGGTCCATTGGGTTGTTATTTTTAGTAGATTTTGAACTGTGGGGAGGGTACGGTTGGTTATAGAACACGTGTGTATATGTGGCGAGGATTTGTCACTAGAACCCGGGTGGTCACCCCCCCATCAGGGAACTAGTGGTACCGGCTGATGCTTGACTTCAGAACACGTTTTATGACTGAAGCCAACCACCACGTCACAAGTATATAATAAATAATAATGTAATATAACTTTGTTTAAGGGCCTGAGTATAAAAATGATATAGTTAAATTTTATATGGTCATAACATTATAATATATTATATATATGATGCGCAGTGTTGTTACGAACAGTATTATTTAGAGGCTAGAGCCTAGAGTCAGCTAGTTAGTTATATAACTTATAATGTTAACTCACATACTCATATTAATATTATACAGTCGAACTTGGTCAACTCGAACTTTTTCCCAGTCCCTAGAATTTCCTATTATTGTAATATCCTTGGATAGCTCAAACTTTTTGGACGGTCTCTTCAATTTAGAGTCCAACTGTATCATACCAACCACCTGTTCGTCTGAGCTTTCGATCTATTCCACAACATTTTCTCGGTGGACATAATATAATACATTACTTTATTATACATAAGTGTTGCTATACATCATGATATACAGGCTGCAGTTTCCACAACAAAATATGTCCCTAGGTACAAGGGAAATAAGTCCAACATTTTTATTAGAATTATCGAAATCAATATTTCTCGATTTAACTACTATATATAATTAAAAAGGTGGGAAAGTGGGTGTCGCTCTGCTGTAAAGTAGGTTACAAGTGGGTCACTGTATAATGGATGATATTAAATTTGAATTCAACGATATAATATCATTGTATAAGAAAAACGATTCTGAGCGGAGACGGTATGTCAGTATAAGACATATTATATACATATCTATGGTATTAAACAAAAAATTGACCTATAATGGGTACCTATAATAAATTCCTAATTAATCATATCACAATATCCATTAGGTACTGGTAA